ATATATGCCTGCATGGGATTCACCCGAGTTAATTACGATTTGCATACAAAACTCGGTCCGTTATTTAATATTTACAACGCTTATCTCTGGCATACATTTTCTGGTACACCTGGCGTTTGGATACGCCGCTGACATGAGCTTAGCCACCGCTCCCTACGAGTAAGAAACCAATATAAAACAATTAGCCAGTTGTAAACTTAATCAAATATTATTTAATAAATATCAAGCATATTATTCTACCTATATCACTGTTATATAACCGACGTGATTGTGACTAAAATACAGCTTGGTGGCAAATCATTTCTGACCCCCGAGTCGTACAACCAAGTGCCAATAGTGGATCAAATGACTGGTTTATTATACAACGCGCGCATTCAGACCAATAAAATCACGTACTTTAATGAACCCGTTTTGCACCTGTTTTGGATTGGGTTCGGAGACTACTGTTCCGTCACCGATGCCATCGTCGAAGACGTGCTCAACACTATAGACAACGTGAAACCCCCGGTGCCGGCGGCCATACAGCGAATGCCCCGCGATATTCAACGCACGTATTATCCGAAGTTTTATTCGGGAAACTATTCGATGTTTGACTACTATATGCCAGATGTGGGCGACTGTAACGCCGAGTGCCGACCAATGCCTGTCTTTCAGGGCTATGCGGACACTGAGAATGGGTTGAGACAAATGCGGCGATACTATTACGACGAGAACTTTGTCGTATCACCTGTGCTTTATCTGAGTCAAGCGTATTGGCTAAATATAATGGACTGGTTAAATAAATCACCCTATTGTTCACCTTATGTAACTAAACTTCCTTAGCATGCCATAAGTTTTATATTTTGAACTAGCCTGATATAAATTAAATACTAAAAGAATATATTCATAATAAATTAATGTAAAGTGTAACTTTATAATGTAGGCTAAATTTACTAATTATAATAACCTAAATAATTATTTAACTTAAATTTTCTTATATAAATTATTATTTTTAATTAATTAATTAATAATCATCAAAACTTATATACTAATCATTTTGTTATGAATATCAAATAACCACACAAACCATATTGATATAAGTAAATAAATATTAATAAGTTATAACAAAATCTATTATGATTTAAGACATGGATTACATACGGGATATACCATGGCTTTTGCCGATCACATTCTTATCGATTATACCACTAATCTATTGGTATTTGAAAATCAATTTTAATTTACTTTATAATTATGCAAATTAATTCATTTAATTATAAACATAAATACATCTTTAAAATTATAACTTAATAATACATGTAAAATAAATGTAAATAAATATTTATCCTCTATGTAAACAATTATTTGTCGTACTAAAAGGCAATTAACACGGAATTTTCAATACTGGACTAAACGTGGTATAAAAGGGCCCAAACCGTACCCATGGGTTGGCACCGATTTGTATCAATTTTTCAAACCAACGCATNTAAACAATTATTTGTCGTACTAAAAGGCAATTAACACGGAATTTTCAATACTGGACTAAACGTGGTATAAAAGGGCCCAAACCGTACCCATGGGTTGGCACCGATTTGTATCAATTTTTCAAACCAACGCATATATTGGACACTCAATGGCTTAAGACATACGGAAACATTTACGGGTTAATAACTGTTATTTAAATTAACTAGTTTACATAGACAATTTACCATAATAATTAAATATATTTAATCCAATTATCAATAATTTACAGCACGTTCAACATGGATGAGCCGGTCATCACAATTGCCAAACCAGAGCTCATACAACAAGTACTGGTGAAAGACTTTCACGTATTCGCCGACCGTAAGGGTCGGTCCTATAAACACCCGGTGCTCCACAAAAACGTGTTTTACTCGACGGGCGACGACTGGAAACGGTTGCGAAGTATTATAAGTCCCACATTTACGTCGGGAAAGATGCGCAAAATGTATCATTTGGTCGGTGAGTGTCTTCAGGAGTACATCGAGATATTGGATGAGATGGCTGTCGAGGGACGCGATGTCAACATCAAA